AGGGAGGAAAAATAAGGGAAAAGAAAGAAGGAGGTCAAAATAATGGTTCTACCGCCATCACAGCCGTGGGGGCTCCGCCCACCTGCAGTACTGTAGAGAGTACTAGTAACGCCATTGGATGAGAGCATGAAGGAAAAAGTACTTTACAGAGGTGCAGTTTTCATGTACTTCTAAGTATTTCTGTGTTAGGACGGTTTCTGCTGCAACTTCATTATATTTCAGATGCAAATGTTTGTACTCCGTAAAAATTTATTTTAAAGCTTTCATAACTTTTTCTTATTTTGCACATTTTATGATATAGTTCTGTTTGAATTATTACTGTATTTATTGCAGAGTTATGGCAGCTGACTCTCAGTATTGTAGACATATATGGCAGATAATTTTACCAAAGTAACAAATAATAAAACTAAAGATATTTTCTTCAGAATTATTTTTTAATTTAGTTTTGGTTAACTAAAATAACTTTTGGAGTAATTCAGGTTTTTTGCGTGTGTCACATTTTAATTTAGATATTCAAAGCGAGGCCCTATCATGATTTTGTCTTTATGTCCTTATGGCTTAAAGCACATCCAGCTCCTTTCAGGGGCTGTAATTTACAAAGCAAATATCATGTTCTATTTATTAAGACCTAAAGCTAGTGATACAGCCAATAAACTCATCAAGAATGTGTTTGCTGGGCTCGTAGATCAGGTAGGAAGTGGAGAAGTTTTCTCATAGACTTCTATTCCATTGAAACCAGGTAAGTCGCCCCCTATACTCGCGAGAATGCATGTTTAAGACAGGGACTGGTTTCAAGAGAAAACAGGAGATGAACCCCGACATATATGTACAAACATGCATATACCACACACACACACACACACACACACACATTCAGACACACACCTACACACTCTCACACACACACACTATACCCTGGGTCTGTCCGTCAAGTCAGTGTTTTATGATCCTGAGCAGGAAAACTGGGAAAACCCTCCAACCTTTCAGTAGATAATTATTAATAAATAATTACAAACCGATATGTAACATCGCGCGCAGGAGCAGCAGCGGCGGCAGCACGTGGCGCTGGGTGTGACGCGCAGCCACAACAACAACACTGCTGTCAGATCTCATCATCGCAGCGGCTTCGGTGTTAAAATCAGCCTCACTCAGGATTTTTCTGTCTCTGCGGAAAAATCCGGCACAGCTGCAGAGCACACCTCCGAGCCCGGCCCAGCCTTCCTCCCGCCGCCGCCCTCTGAACTGTGACCGGATTTGTTAAAGAGAGGCTAGGTGGACTCGCGGCACCGCCTCGTGCAGCTCGGCTGCAGCCCGCAGACATGCAGACTAAAAACAGCGATTTTTTGAATGGAGTCTGGCGGAGCGGCGGGGAGCCAGCCGGGGCCGTGTGCGCAGGCGGGTGACAGAGCTCCTACCTGCTGGCCTGACCCTTTACCTGCAGCTCCTCCGTCACAACGTCCAGGTGCCGCTCAGCTGATTGTCTCCCGCTGCGGCTCGCGCTCAGCCTCACATCAGCTGGACTCTGCGCGCCGATTGATGACGCCGACGGTCGCCTCGCGCGTGCAGCGATCCGATCAGTCATGTAGGGTCGACACTCTGTTCATCACTCTTCATCCTCCTCCTCGACACGGCGGCCACTCTCTGTGCTCAGTGAAGCTCCATCAGCAGCAGCAGCACGAGGCGCGCTCACGACGCCAGCACCATGCGGCGGGCATGCGCACGCCCTCGCCCGACTCCAGCAGGAGGTCCCTTCATGTTTCACAACGCGACGTGTCTGTGAAGGTTCTCAGTCATCCAGGTCATCGTAGTCTAAGGAGCTTGGAAAGAGAAGCCTCTGGACTTCTTTAAGTTTATGTTTCACCTCTCATCCGCGACGATAATCAGAGGAAACTGTATCTGATGTAGATCCATCCGCACACCTACATCAGTCTGCTTACACCACGCTTTTTTCATAACTTGATTTATAAAACACGTTTCAGCCAAAAACTAAGTTTTAAAAAACGTCTTAGTGAAGGTCATAGACTGGATATAAAGGATGGATGAAGTGCCTTCCTTTTCCGTGACCAGCAGGGGGCGACTCATCTGGTTTCTCAAAGAAAGAAAAGAAAAACCTTTTAATTGTTCTTATTCATGTTACTGTGTCTGACTAATAAGACTGCACTGCTGGACAGTTCTATAATGTGTAACAGTGGTCAGCCTTAAAATAACTGCTTTGTCTCCAGCTCTGTTCTTTTCGGAGCGATGAAACGTATTTGACCAGTGCTCATCTGTCAGTGTTATACACTGCAACACTGTTTAATCAGTTTAGCATCAGGTCAGTTAAACTGCCAGGTATATTGATGTGGTCAGAGGGTTGTTAATCAGTTTCATCTGCTTTGGCATTAATGAAACTAACAACAGCGGAGCAACAATGACACAACCCCAAAAACAGGAATGGTTTTACAGCTGACAGCCACCGACATTTTTCCCTCTTCATCTTTTCTGTATTTTACTAGTTTAGCAGTTGGCTAGGGTCAGCGTCACTACTGGTAGCATGAAGCGATACTTGGACCTTGCACAGGTAGTCCAACTCCTCCAGGATTTCACCCATTACCACAAGGTTTGCTGTGGCACAGTCTCAGGAGCATGGAGGAGATTCCAGGAGACAGACAGTTACTCTAGGAGAGTTGGACAGGGCTGTGGAAAGCCCTTAATCCATCAGGAGGACCAGTATCTGCTCCTTTGTGCAAGGAGGAACAATGAGCACTTCCAGAGCTACAAAATGACCTCCAGCAGGCCACCGGTGAGAACGTTTCTCACAAAACAATCAGCAACAGACTTCATGAGGGTGGGCTGAGGCCCCGGCATCCACTAGATCCAATAGTTCACCTCTGGGACAGTGCCATCCAGACTGTCCAGAAGCTCAGAGAAGGCCTGGTTCAGATCTGGGAGGAGATCCCACACACCAACCTCTGAAGCCTCATTAGGAGCATGCCCTGATGATGTCAGGTATGCAAAAGTGTTCCTTTAATTTGCTTCCTTTTCTCATTTGACTTTGACGTAAAAGCTGGAACGTGTTCCAAGAGACTGTATACATAAATACCGATTTCTTGTAGGCATCAGTGAAAATGATATGAACACTTTCCATCACAACAAGTGCAGTCTCTTCACATTTCCTCCTTTTACTGAGATGAATGTCTGTGTGCAAGAAGAGACTTGAAGCCAGGTACGATCACTGTGCTCCCTCTGTGATGGAAACCCTCCCATTCCACATGATGAATGCTGGAACAGCTCCAGCTCTGACGGAGGCCGGGGCAGTAGGTCTGTGTGATCAGCTGGTGAAGAAAAATCACATGTAAGCTTGAAAACTCAAAAGGAAAACAAGTCATTTCACCTTTACGTGAACCACAGGGATCACGAAAAATCAACTTCACTCAGTGATAAAGTCATGAAAACCAGCTTTCTGTAACAGGCTGGATCTCTAGTTTCAAGTCAAACACTCGAGATGTGATTGAAGTGCAGACTTCCAGCTTTATTTCCAGGGGTTTAACAAAACTGCTGCATTTCCTGAACGAGGATTAAAGCCATTATTGAACACCGTCCGCCCTGTTTGTTAGAGGCTTTAAAGTAATTCAGTAAGTGAAGTCTTGACTGATGGATTTAAAATCCACTGTGATGGTCTACAGAGCCAAAATTACAAATACTGTCTGAATACATACATACCTAAATGTGTGTTTTGATTGTTAATCATATAAATATGTTGTTGAAAAAATATAAAAACCCATCAAATCATTTTAGGTTGAACTTTACTCAGTGAGCAATATTTAAAAACATGAATATGAGCAGAAGGTGACCTGCAGAAAACGTGGAAACAGAAACTCTGGTGACATCTGGCAAACTGTGAATCAAATGTGCATCTAAATTCTCCGAGCAGCTCAGTTTGACTCGGAGCAGCACATCTGAAGGGTTAATTCAGAGAATAATCCTGCCGCTGGGACGAATCCAGAAGAATAGCTCCCCACCTACCACCACCACCCACATGTGCAGAAACACAATGAGGCTTCAGGCTAAGCTGCTCCTGTTTCCGCTGATTTCTGCTCAGATGATGTTTAAATCTGCTGCTGCTTCCTCTCTACTGTACTCCAATTACTATTTGACTGACTTTCAGCATCTGATGATGTGAGCAAGCGCTTTGGTGACAGTAGGAAGGAAAAACTCCCTTTCAACAGGAAGGAGCCTCCGGCTCAGGGTTAGGGAGGAGCAGCCATCTCTTGTGAGCGGTTGTGGGGAGGAAGGAAGCATCTTCTTCTTCAGGCTCTCGTCTTTAAGAGTGCATCTCTCCAAAAAATTAGAATACTGTAAAAAGTTGTGTAGTTAATACTTTAATTAAAACATTTCATTTCATTAAAGCAGTTATACTTTAATTAAAACAGGTAAACTCACAGTAAAACATTTTAAGCCTTTTATTTTGTTTAAATTTTGATGATTATCGCGTATGGCTCAGACATCTAGTATCTTGAATTATGATATTTCCTACGATCATTGAAAAAAGGATCTCCATTATGAAATGTCAAACTTCTGATCAGTTGTGTATGCACACAGAGCATTTGGGGCTCCTTTACCACAAATCACTGCACCCGTGTGGTGATACATGGAGGTGTTCAGCTCGGCTGTAGTTTTGGGTCAGATGTTTCGCCTTCTTGAAAATACTCCACAAATTCTTTGAGGGGCTCAAGTCAGGCAGGTGAGTTGACTGCCCGCTCAAACACAGGTAGCTGTTTTGGTGCTTTACGCCCAAAAAGGAAAAGGAAATTAGCATCTTTGTTGACTTTGGACTTGATAGAACACACTGGACCGACCACCACCGGCACGATCAAGCAGACCAACCCATCAGACTGTGGAAACATTAAAGACTTTTCAGTCTGTGCCTCTCTATTGTAGCTCCAGATCTTGATCTCCAAATTAAGTGCAAACTTTACTTCAATGAAAAGAGGACAGTCCAGATCTTTTTCTCCTCAGGCCAGGCCAAAACACTCCTGATGTGGTCTCAGGCTCAGGAGTATCTGGAATGTGACAGGTGTGCTTCCTGTGGCAGCTCTTTATGGAACGACTTCACTCTTCGTGAAGTTCTACCGTTCTTGAATAAACTTGTCTTGACATCACTGTTTCCTGCAACACTTTTCCCAACTTTCCATCAATATGCTTCCATTCGGCACTCTGTGAACAGCCAGCCTTTTCAGCGGTGACCTTCAGTGGCTTAACCTCATTATGGAGGGCACTGATGGTCATCATCTTTCACGTTAGCAGCTTCCTCATGACTGTGCTAGAAATATTAGTTTACCTTTTTAGTTGTGATGAACAAAAAGGAAAAAAATGTAACACTATATAATAAGGCCCACAAGTAAGGCTGTGAATGCCCCGTAATTAAACTGAATTTCAATTTAATCATGTTTACCTACAAATACTTAAAGGTAGGCACGAGTAACAAGTCAGGTAACGATGGAGCCTTTTTTCACCCCTTTCACAATCAGGGTTTAAACAAAACTTTCTAAAGGTGAATCTCCTTTCCTGGTTTCCTGAGGTTAGGCAAGAATAAACCATTCCAGCAGTAAAAATGACGCAGTTATACTGTAAAAGTATTTACAGTATAATTTGTGTCTCCTTTCCCAGGGCGGGTTTAGGCACTACTTCAAAAGCAATTCTTCAATATTTCTTCGTCCTGGTAAAACAGATGAAACAAAGTACTTTAAATAGTCATGTTGACTTTTTTGTCCCGATTGTTTGTGTCTGTCACATTTTGTTTGTTCTTGTTCCAGATTTTGAACACCAAAAACCAATATCCATGCCGGACTTCCTCCTTTGAAGGAGGTATAATTCTCTGTATTATTACAGCTCTGCTGTTGCAGCCAGGCTTCCTTTCAATCAGCCTCTCTATGTTCTGCAAACACTTAACTGCAGACTATTTTGCATAATTTGAGTCTTTTCTGAGATACAAATTAAAAAATGATTCAAAAAGCCCCAAACTATGTTTAATGCTTGATCCAGCACTTGGATTGGTGTAGCCTGGTGGTGGCTGGTATGTAAGAAAACTGGGAGAACTGATGGTGACCGAGACCTTCGGCTCAGATTAGATTAACAGTTCCTACTCCCGTTATACGAGCCTATTTTATTTAATAGAAAACTCCAAAATTTACACTCTTTTTCTTTTCAAGGCCATCCAACACCCTTCGAAGGACCAACATTAGCTGCCAGACCATATGTTTGACATCAGGGACATAAAAGCTACACTGCTCAGATATGATTAAGTTACAGTAGATTACAAATCAGCTGATTCTGAAAGGGTCAGGTGGAGAAATCACTGATTGCTGTTCGAAGAGCAGGAAATGTTCTAAAAATCTTTATTGTTTCTGAGAATATTCACAAACATCTGGTTTGATTTTCAAACAGCTCGAGTTTCCTTCACTGACCAATTTGTGAATGCTGTGAACAACAGAAGAAGAAACAGAAACCACAGAAGAAGAACTTTGAATAACCTGACAGACGTTTATAAAAATGAAAATAACATTTCAACGCTACAGGGAGAAAATAATTTACAATAGAGCTGGTTTAAACACCGCCCCTCTCTGCTGCAGAGGCTCCGCCTACAAACAGCACCATAAACTGTGACCTTTAAAACGACCTCAGACAGAGAGAGGGCAAGAGACATTCAGAGAGAGAGAGAGAGAGGGGGAGAGAGAGAGAGAGAGCTACCTACATATAACTCAAATAAATTCAAATTTTAATCCCATTTGGAGAAATGCTGTTGACTCTGTCCAACATTGTCTCCATGACAACAGCAGAAAGAAGCAACAAAGGAAGAAGAGTTCTGATTGGTCAAAAAAAAAATGTACAAATATCCTACAAGTCTTTTGTTTTGTTTGTTTCCAGAGTCCCGCCTCCTCCTGGTTCTGGCAACCAAGCAACAGTAACCAATCACAGTCTTCAGGAGAAAGTCGACTCCTCCTATTGGTCGGTTCTGAACTTCTTTGGTCCAGCAGATTTACTAGAGACAAAACAAAGAGGTTCAGTGAGATTTAAAGAATGACTCTACTCATTTCAGCTTTGCATGACTCACAGCTCAGAATAATCCTTCTTTATCTTAAAAAACAAAAAAAAAAACTTAATTTAAAAAAAGCTTAATTTAATTATTGTAATTTCGTCCCTTCTAGTCACTACAGTATAATTTCCTGCTGGGAAACTTCAACATATCCAGGATCTTTCTGTTATCCGCTCCGTCAGGTCAGGCGGCCTGCAGTCATGGTGACTACAGCCCTGTGGAGGGGCAGCATGTACTGCAGTCGAAGCGTTGAGGCTGATATTTAAAGTCTAAAATCACGATGAAAATAACTGAAGGGAGTCGGCTTCGCTCTTTTTTTTGCATAAAAATGACAGACAACTAAAATATTTTAGAACAGGAAACCGTCTGAGAAACACAAACGGAGTCTACTTGTGTAAAGTCAGTAAAATGGACTGGTACACTTTCACATGATCAAATGAATGTTGGGTTGTTCCCTTTTGTTTTTGAAATATAGAACAATAAAGTTGTGTCAAAGATGTCCTTACAGGTCTGCAGCGGGTCTCTTCACCGCAGCTTTGGGGTCTTTACTGGTTTCTACAGAAGACAGAAAAACAAACATGAGCTCCATTTTTCTCTGAAAAACATCAGCACACCTGATCCTGGTCCTGGTGGTTCTCACCTTGCAGCCACCGGACCTGCGTGGCGGGACCGTAGCCCTTCTGGTTGCGAGCTGCAATGCGGAAGATGATGGCGGGTTTGGTTGTGTAATCGATGTGTGCGTTGGCGAGGCTGGAGGACTGGACCAGGCAGGACGGGTTGGGGCCACAGTAGACCCTCATGAAGGCCAGCTGGGTGGCACCAGAACCTGAACTGGAGGAGGAGGAGGAGGAAGCCTGGCTGGAGTGGATGGCCAGATAGACGGAGTACTCCGTGATCTTCCCCGACGTGACGGCGGGAGGCTCCCAAGTCAGCTGGGCCCCGTCCAGGTTCTGCAGGAGCAGAGGTCACATGAAAACATGAGGTTCGGCGCCCCCTACTGGTAACACTGCAGGATAATTGGCGGCCATAAAGCCCGCATCTCACCTTGCTGATCTTGATGGCACAGGGTGCTCCGGGGAAACCGGGCAGGCACGTTTTAAATGCCGACACCTCTGAGAACGCGCCACGGCCGCAGATGTTGATGCCTGCCACACGGAACTTGTAGGCTGTCCCCGGTTGTAGCTCCACCTTTCTCATTCGACTGTAGTCCGGGACCACGCCCGAGTCGTCCTGCAGGATTGGCGTCATCAAAGACATGATCAACAGGAACATCCCTGTAAACTGAATAAAACTTTATTTAAAGGCGGCGTTCTTACGTCAGGTGTGTTGTCGTCGTAGGGGACGTAGTAATGCGAGACCACCATGTTGGTGACTTTAACGATGCCGACGTCGAACCACCGATCCTCCTTCACCGACGTCTTCACCTGCAGGGGGCACACAGTTAGCCTTTTGTTAGCATGACGTTACGGTTTTGTTAGCATGTCATTAGCCTGTTTTTCAGTCGCTCACCGGCGCAGTCGGTGCGATGCCGTTGGGGGCCTCTGGCAGTGCGGCAGGTGCTTCATTCTTCACCTGCCCTGATGTCAGAGTGGGGGCGGGACCAAACGTGCTGGCCAATCGCGCAACAGCGCTCGTTACCGCCGATGATGCCAGCTCGTGTCCGTTACTCGTGTCGGCTGCCGGGTCATTGAGGCTGTCTGCAGGAGCAAGGCCCTCTGGGAAACACAAGACATAAAATCTTATAAGGCTCATAAACTAAGCAGCAGCAAAGTCATCAGCTGATCAGGTCTGATCAGTTATTGATCAGCTATCAGTCCTGTGAGCAGATTAAAAGTGATCAAGTTTAAAAAGAGCCAAACTCAGTTCTCTTAGAAATGAAGAAAATATTTTTGGTGTGCCTGTCCTTCGATTGTCTCCTAACTAACGCTCTATGACGCTGAATGAGAATCTATCCATGGACAGGTGAGTTTGAAAGCTTCACAGGTGACTTATTTGTTCCTCACACAGAGTTGGGATCCATTTACTTTACTGCAAGTGAAAACTGATCTGTTTATTTCCTCGTCAGTTTTATTTTTTTCTGTTTTCATGCCTAAATTCATAGACGTAAGGGCCGTAGAGATTCGTTTGTAGCTAAAACAAACAGCCTAGCAACAATGACAACATTTAAATATACAATAATGACACTAAGTTTAGACTTCTGACAGCAGGTGTACCTGTAGGGATGCTGCTGTGCTGTGGCTCCGGTTCTGGCTCAGGCTCCGGTTCTGGTTGGTGGATGTTCTGCAGTTGCTGCTGCTGTTGGACGAGCGCTGCCAGCTCCTGCTGAGTCAGAACGATGGGAATAGACTGCTCCGAGCCCTCTGCGTCACCTGCACAAGACAGAATAACATCTGTCATGAAGGCAACTATGTCACACTTGATCCACACATTTTGCTTTTAAACCTTTACTTTTGTTGCACACTCAGATGTGATGAGTGAGTGGTGGACCTGACTGTGAACCCGCACACCCATCAGCTAATGACTTGTGGTCGGCAGGTCATTAGCTGATGAGATTATCCTGGATAATCCCCCCTCTGTGATTCTTACAAAAACTGTAGCATACAAAATGAACTTCATGTTTTAATCAGTATGACCTGAAACTAGCAAGGGGAGTGAGCCGTTGAACTCTTAATGTTTCCCGAGGAGGCGCTTGATCAAATAAAGGGGAGAATTGGGAAACACTGCAGTTGGCTTATCAAATCCCTGACCCCAAAGAGCAAACAGCTGGAACTGGAAACATACAAGGACACAGATATAGCTCCAGCTGTTTGAAATCTTTGGCTGGTTTTTAGTGCTCTTATGGGATGAGCAGAGTAATCAGAACCCAGACATTAATGAAGCTGTGACGTTGTGAAACTGCAGTGGTAGCGAAAGTATGAAATAAGTGAAGTAACAGCTTTTCATATTCATGGAGTTTTTACGTCCACTTACGGCCAGACGAGTCTTTAAAATAATGACATCTTCTCACCGATATGTCCCGCTGCCTGCAGTACTGCCTGTATCGTCGCCTGCTGGGCCGCTTCCTCTGTTGCCGTGGTAACAGCCAGCTGATCCGGCATCAGCGCCCCTGTCACCATCAGGGTTGTCGTCGTCCCAGAGATGTCCTCGCCTCCGTCCCCTTCAGACGACATCAACTCCTGAGGAAGACCACCGTCTGAGGACGCCATCTGAGGGTGGGGACAAGCCAATCAGCTGCCTGTAGGTGAGTGTTTGTGCAAGTGTGTGTGTGGACGTCTTACCTGTGCTGCCGTATCACCGCCCTCAACATGAACGTGTAACACTGCCGCTGCTGATGACATCACATCCTCTGCTTGGCTGTCTGTCTGCATAGGCTCATCCCCCTCATCTGCTGCTGTGTCCATAGCAACAGCCTCTGAGGACTCCTCCCGTGGCTGTCCGACCAACGACGAGATCTCCTGCAGAGGCACAGACATGTTGGTGTAATGTGTCATAATAGTGATGCCACGGGTGTGTGTCCGCGTGTCTGCCTCTTACAGGTATGGATGGTCCTGGTGTGGGCGTGGCCTGTGTAACAGTAGTAATAGCTCTGCTCTGATTGGCTGCTGTGGAGGGGGGCTCAGATGTGGAAGGTTCTGTGGATTCCCCCTGTTGGCTGTCTCCACCCTGCTGAGCTGAAGACCACAGGACAGGAAATGAGGTCAGTTCCTGCTGAGAATTTCAGCTCTCGTTTTTCTTTGTCTTCAAAAAGTCAGGTGTGAGCAGGTTACCTGTAGCAGTAGTGGCGGTGTTGGTGGTTCCAGTCTCGTGGGTCTCACATGGTGGATTCGAACACACCTGAAACCAGAAACGTGCACCGTTACTCTTGTTTGTAAGTCTTTAACCTGCCACAACTCACCTTCTGATCAGCTGACTCACCTGTTGGAGCCCTCCAGCTCCAGCAGTGGTGGCAGTGTTGGTGGTCCCGGTCTCGTGGGTCTCACATGGTGGTTTCGAACACACCTGCAGACACAAACAGCTGGTGTTTAACTACAGACATCACCACACCTTCAACCAATGACTGTCCACCAGTAACCTGCATGTGTCAGGAGTCAAGCGCTCTCTAACCTGTTGGAGCCCACCAACTCCAGCAGTGGTGGCGGTGTTGGTGGTCTCACACGGTGGATTTGAGCAGGTGTTCAGAATGACAGCAGGTGGAGCTGACTGCTGAGCTGCAGGCTGGTTTGAACTCATCTGAGGAGGAGAAGCGGGAACATGATGGTCATACAGAATCAGCAAAAACCCTGCGAGCCCTTACAGGACTGAGTTTTTCCTGCACTGTTAGCTAAACCGTTTTACAGACTTGACTATGCGCTCCTATAACAACCACATGCACAGTGAGCTGGTCCTCAATTGTAACAGAATGACTGAGGAGAGTCAACTCAAGTTGAGTTGGTACTATGGAGAGAAAAAAAGAGGCATTAGACTCCATGAACGCACCTGCAGCTCCTGTCTCATGCTCGCTGAGGCCACCGTGGCAGTGTTAGTTGTTCCTGTCTCGTGCATCTCACAGGGCGGGTTTGAGCACACCTGGTTGCTACCGCTGATGTTTGCGCTAGCGACGGTAGCGGTGTTGGTCGTTCCCGTCTCGTGCGTCTCACAGGGCGGGTTGGAGCAGACCTGGTTGCTACCGCCGATGTTTGCGCTAGCGACGGTAGCGGTGTTGGTCGTTCCCGTCTCGTGCGTCTCACAGGGCGGGTTGGAGCAGACCATTGTCACTGCCGCATCATTAATAACAGCATAAACAACTTTGAAACAACGATCATATAGTTCAACGTGCATTACAGTTTATTTCGTGCAGCAGCTAAATAGAATACTTGTGGTACTGGTTTCTGTACCTGCAGCAACTGCACTTTCCCCAGTCTCGCCCTGTGCAGTAGTTGTTGTACTCGTAATCGTAGTACTTCCAGGTTCCTCTGAAGTAGGAGAAGCCATGATAGAGACTGGCAGATCCTGGACGACCGGCTGAGCCTCTGCACCGCTTGGTGTTGTGATCAGAGTCACCTACAGAGAGAAGTTACAGTATTACTACAGAATAATGGAGAAAGAAAACTGTAACTACTAAAAACAACTTCTGCTAGATAGTTGTTTTCATTTCCTGTCCAGTGTAACTGCAGTACTACAGTAAAGTATTCCAGTATTTCTCCAGTATTTGATGAATTACCTGCTTAGGTCCAGTGGCAGCTGTGGCTGTCGTGACCTGGCCAGCCAATGTGGCAACAGTTGCCAGGGTGGTGATTGGCGTTGCCAAGGAGGCGTTAACCTGAGCACCGGCGGTTCCTGCCACGGTAGTGCAGATGTTTCCTGTAACCGTCCCCAGATTGGAGACACCTGCAGAGGTAAAATCACAGGTGCTGTGTTTGGACTGGTCACATGTCCACTGACACTGAACAGACTTCGCGGGGGTGCAGTGCAGCAGCCGCTGGAACATTTTGGACAGCACTATCATCGCTGCTGCAAAATCGTGAGCCAGCTGGTCGTCGTCATCTCTGACCTCAAATTTGGTTCAGATTTTTAACCCTGCTACTTTTGGATAATGTAGGATGGATGCTGTTGCTGTAGTTTGCATGCAAATGTTTCACTGGTGAGACATTTTATACATGTAACATATTTTTAGTGTAGAAGAAGTTTTAATCATGCAGCCCTGGTGCCAGAACCGACCCACTAAAGGGTCTAGTGTAGCCCACTGGACAGCTTTAAGTGTGAAAAGTCAAGCTCTTTAGAGGCCTATGTCCCATAATCTTCTTCATACCAAAAACAGAACGTCTCGTGCAGTGAAAGGAGGCGTTTGTCTGGATATTAAAGCACAGACACATATAGTAGCAGAGGCAACAAAGACACGTCAATAATGCCAGACAAAAACACAAAGTGTGAAAATTCAAAATGTTTCAGGCTGATAAGGAGGACTACGTCATACAGCTGTTTCAACATCACACCCTGTGTATACTGCTTGTGAGTGTTATTAGAAAAAAGGTGCCATTAGAGTCTGGAGGAACTCAATGTTGCTCTAACGGGAGTTGATATGAGTATGATTGGTAGACATGTCACTGCAGCACTGACAAAACAAACGTGACAAATCACACATTGTCAGGCATTAGTTTGTAGCCTCGTAGCGACAGCATCCCCATGCTGTGAGGGTCAGTGCAGGTGGGTTACCTGTGGTTCCCTTGACAACCAACGTGGTTACTGTGCCGGGCTTGGTGCCAACACCTCCTGGCGAGACCAGTCTGACTCCGCTCATCGGGACGGTCCTGAGGATTGTGCCCGGCGTACCTGGAGCTCCTTTCAACACCACCTGAACACACACACACACACACACACACACACACACACACACAAATTAGTTACTGTGGGAGAAGTCTCCAGTTCTCCTATAGTCCGGAACACAGCATCATCTTCCTGTATTTACTCTTGTTGTCCCGCCCCAGACACACCTGACCAATGAGCAGACTGAATATTCTCATGTGGTTTGTAGTGATGTAAACAAAACAAACCAGCAACAAGTTTACAAACTCATCAACTGATTCAGACCAAAGTAAACAAACTACAGTTGTGAAAACAGTCTTAGAACAAAAAATAAATAAATCAATAGACACAGCTTTGTTAATCAGGGTTTCCATCAAAAACAAACAAACACAAAGACTCACTGCCTGTACAGTATTTGAACTGGGGCTATTACAGTTATTAAAAAATTAATAAAGTTTAAACCTGAGAGTGGAGAAAAGAAAAAGTAGTTAAGTGAAAAAACAAAAAGTACTAGATTTTTGGAAAAAACTAAACTTTATGACCTAGAACTAGAAAACTAAAAGGAAAAGAAAATATATTTAGTCTTAATATTTAACAGTTTTGTTAAAACCTGTCAGCACAACCAGCCTGATGAGGCTTGAGCTACAAATGCACTGAATTTAATAGTTTTAGCCATTTTAAATATCAATATCACAAATTAAAATTTAATGTGTAATCAATTAAAAAACATTAAATGAGAAAAAACAAAACTATAATAACTGTGATGACAGGCGGATCATGGTGACTGTGAGCCAATAACATGAACAACTGAAGAGAAAAGCTTTGCGGCCTCCTTGCTGCACGTTGTACACGCCACTTTAACCTGATGATAAAAGAGCATAAAGATGACAGCGATGTGGCAACAGAGGGTTCATGTAAAGGAGCCTCAAGTGTCTCATTGGGTATAATTTTTTTAATTGAATACTTGTGGGTTGGTGTCTAATGTAACTGATGTGGTGTCAAATGTGGCGGATGTGGCATCTAATGTGGCTGATACATGGAGTACATCAGATTACCGTCTATTAAACAAACACACGACCAACACAGACTTCCGAGGATTGTTTTCTGACAGTTTCTCGCAGATTTCTAAGCTTAAAGTTTTTTTCCTGATATTCTATAACCAACAAGTCTCATCAGTCTGATTCGTTCAGCCTGCTGTATTAGTGGTAGAAATAAAGTTTCATTTTACTGTCTGCATGTTCACGCATTACAGTGTGTGTGTGTGTGTGTGTGTGTGTGTGTGTGTGTGTGTGTGTGCATTACCTGTGTGACCCCCTGCTGGCCACCTGCAGACACTTTTGGCACGGTGGTGAGGATTTTTCCAGCGGTCCCTGGAGTCACCATCTTGGTAGTCAGGATGGTGATCGGACTGTTTCCACCTGGAAGGGAGGAGCTTCACTCAGTCATCCACCACATTAAACATTAAACTGGACTCACAGTGGTCCCACTTTCTTTCAGGAATGTTCCTGGGGGAGTGAAATGACCCCAATGTGGCAGTCGTAATAAGAGCCGGTCGAGTTCTCTTAATGCAGCAAAAGGTTTCTCTGCTTTTTTATCTCCTTTACCAATGAAACAACTGTTCTAACCAGGCAGAACCTACAACACTGAAACACTGAAGTGAGGCTATTGGATGTGTTACTGGCTCTTTAAATCATGTAAGGCTTTGAAGTGTGTGTGCTGGTGTTGTACCTGCGCCTCCCTGCAAAGCTGACACTGGGATGGTCTTAATGATGGTGGTTCCGGGTTTGGAGGCTCCCGGCGCGACGCCCAGGATGGTGGGTTTCCCTGCTGAGGATCCAGCCTGTGCCGTGCTGAGGATGGTGGTCTGCTTACCATCGGCAGACGATACCAACTTCAGGATGGTTCCTGCAGGGAGACCGCCCTTAGCCTGACAGGAAGCCGGAGGAGGAAGAATCGGGGTTACTGAGTTTTTTTAATTTTTTAAATTCTAGTCAGAGAAGAAACTTACATTTAACGTTGTATAACACCATGCAGATAAATTAATGACGTAAAAAAAAAAAAGAGTTCCCAAACTTTAAGCAGTTTTTAAATGGATTTGACTGGCGATTCTAAACATTGTTTATTAATCGTCCCAGTGAGAACTGAAACTGAAGTCAGGGGTGTCTCAGTATTCGTTTACAGAGGGGTTCAAACTCATCAGGACTCTGGGACCGTACCTGGAGGATCTGAGTTACTGCGTTGCTCCCAGCCTGGACCGTACCGGCACCACTCTGAACTGGTTTGGTCTGGACCACCGATACCACTTTGCCCAGGCTGCTGAGGTTACTGAGCTGATACAGAGGGAGGGATGATGTCATAAACAGCACTCTGACCCACATGCTGATATCAGATAAATTATCATCTAAACCAGCGCCGCAGCTGACATCACTCACCAGTGTCCCGCCTCCTCCCATGCTCAGTGGGCTGTTAACCAGAGTGATGGTCTTTGTGACTCCACCCACCACCGTCGTGACCACCTGAGCCTGCTGAGAGACGGTCACCGTGCCCGACTTATGGACCGTGATGATTGGCCTGCTGGGGGTCCCAGGGTTGGAGACAGAGGCCCCACCCACCTGGGCTGCAGCCGTCTTCAACATTCCCGTGGCCATGTTACTCACCTGAGAAAAAGAGCAAGATGTTACACGTCACCTGCCGCGTGTTCTGATGTAATCCTGCGTCTTGGAGGCGTCAAGTCGAGTTTTATCTTTACCACTTTGACAGGCAGACTGCTCGTTCCTGGACTGACAGCGACAGTCTTCACTAGGGTTGCTCCTGCGGGGACATTCAGCACCGTTGCTGTAGATGGAGGGATCTTCTGAGTCGCTGCAGCTGCCGCCGCCAATGCTGCCATGCCACTCATCTGAGGATTGCTGCCGATTGGCTGAGGGGAGACAGGAATAAGCCATCATAACAGGAACATTTGAAAAATATGAATGATAATCCATATCAAAGTTTATGACAGTATACAAAGTGTTTGTTACAGGAACAAATCCCGTTTTACCAGATTATCCACGCTTACATGGACGACATGAAACAGTGCAGAGCGAAGTGTGACACCTGTACTGAGGAGGGTGGGAGGTGAGGTGAAAGCTCATAAGAAAGTTCTGTTTACCGTTTGACCGGGCTGAGCAGGTACCACCATACGAACACCTGCAGGAAGTGTCGTCACACCAACTGGCGACTTGGGCATGGCCTGTCTCACTGTGACGATGGAGGCTCCGCCTGTTGTACCTGGAGCTGATGGCACTTTCAAGATTGCTGCAGAAACAAAAAGATAGGTGAGGGACATTCATGTGTACCTGCTCGACCACCACTACATCTACCTGTGCAAGTGTGGAGACCCACCTGGTGCTTTAGCAGCTGCAGCCAACGGGGTTCCAGCTACAGATGCAGTGGGAGTAGGGATGAGTGTGATGCCGGACAGGGGGACAGTTTGGTTGGCTGGTACTGCTGTGACGGGGGCAGAGCTTTTGGGGGAGCTGGCTCCAGGTGTGGCAATAGTGGGGGAAGGGGTTGTGGCAGGTGAGGAGGCCGCAGGTGTGGCAGGAATGTCGTACTTCTGCAGCTGTAGCAAGTAGGTGTCTGCGGTCTGTGACGGCCCCCAGCTCACCTCCAGAGACGTAGTGTTTGCCCGCACCAGCTGCACCCGAGAGGGGGCACAGGGACGCTCTGAGAACAGGTCAGACAAATTATACCAGGTCAGACTGTCAGCTCAGGTAAAACAGCACTAGTACACCTCTGCTAGTGCACTCACCGGTCTCCAGGTACCAGAGGTCTTTGCAGCACACCTGGTTGTTCCAGGCCTTCCTGTATCCATCTCTGCCGCTCCAGATATAAAGTCTGGAGTTGATGGCGACGCTACAGTGACCTGCGCGAGCTCTGGGGATGTTCTCCTCTGAAGTGTCCATCAGCACCGTTTCCCAGCACATTGTGTCTGGAGGCAGACAAGTGAACACAGTTTTGTCGTTTGTGTGATGAATTCCTCTTTAGTTTCAGTTATTTATGCACATGTAGAACATCTGTTATGTCAGCAATATAATTTACATGACCTGCATGAACATGAGCGCTCAGCACCACACATGTGAAGAGCCACTGTGAGTGTTGCTGTGTATCTGAGTGTGTATTTGTACCTAGGTTGAGGCAGGCCAGTGTGTTGGTGCACTTCCACTCCTTCTCATGAGTCGCCACTTTAACATCATCCATCACCAGAGGAACCCAACCTCCAAAAACATACATCCTGAAAGAAAACAGTCGGGATTTCAGCGTGCAGTAGTAGAATACAGCTCAGACGTCTGGGATCACTTAAGAGTCCTTGTTTAGATATCTGACCCCCATCCATTTTCAGCCACTTATGCAGGTCCAGATTGTAAGGGCAGCAGTTTAAGCAGAAACAGTGTCTCCAAGCCATCTGACATAATCTCTCCTGTGTGCCTTCAGTTCTCCCACAAGTTCCAAGTTCATCAAGTAGACTGATTTCACTTTTCTTCAGTTATAGCAGTGCTCAAGATGATAGATTACTCCGTCACCAAAGTAACCAAAATACATCTAAAACGCACACATTAACCTGCCGTAGTTCCTCTCCGTCACACAGCCTAACTCTGGCATCTATCTGCTCCTCGTCTAAAGTTCAGTCACAACAGCAGCTGAATAACCAGCGTACTCCAAACATCCTTCTCCACAGAAAGGTTTTCCAGTTCCTCTTATTGAAACCTGAAGTGCTCAAAGATCATATATTCAATATCTCTAGAAACTTCTGGGTATTCCCCGGTGTTCCCACCCAGTTCCAGGTTTCCCCAGATAACCTCCAGATAGAAGCACCAGGACCACCTCAGCTGGCTTCTTTCAAATTTGGGCTGTTAACAAAAATCAGCCAACAACTGTGTGACTGCCAACAAAAAGAGCCATTCAGGGACAGAAAAGTTATTATAATAAAGGCTCTTAGGCCTTTACGACAGGCGTGTTGTGAGTGACCTCTGCTTTTGCAATTAATACAATAGTAAAAGTCACACTGTCGATATGCAAGTTCAGTACAGTGGCAACCTGATGACTAGATAGCAGAGCTGTCCCTTCAACCGCTGTTGTTTAAAGTCCTCAAGAGAGAAAAAAAAAGCTCTGGGATGCTGACACTTTATTTGAAATACAATCAAATCAAATCAAAAATAAACAAGGAGATCTCAAAGTGAATCCAGTCTTTTGAATGGATGCGTGCGTGCGTGCGTGTGTGTGGGGGGCTGCGCGTACTTGTTGTTGATGGTGGTGGCGGAGTGCAGACTGCGAGGTAGGGGGGCCGTCCCACCGAGGCCTGGTTTGCTCCACACCAGAGAGTCTGTGTTATGAAGAAGACAGGAGCCAATCAGAAGTCAGTACAGCTTTTTTTGGACTCGAGTGTCCCATTTTTTGATTGGTTTTTTTTTTTTTTTTGCTCTGTTTACTTCAGACCAGATGTTTTGTAAATTTAACAGCTGTTGAACCAGGACACTCGTCTCCACAGAACTACACAAACACTCAGCAATGACGCCACCTCACCTATGTCGAGGACCCACAGGTCCCCCAGCCGGCAGCCACTCATGCCTCCGTAGATGATTAACCTGCTGGCCCCGTGGTTTGTCGTCACCACCGCCGTGTGACTCTCTCTGGGTGGTGGTGATGGGCCGGACGTTGCTGGAATCTCCCAGCCGACCACGCTGGAGCCCGGCCGCAGCTCCAGACAGTACAGGTCATTCAGGTATCTGAGGGCAGAGGTCAAAGAACAGGCTCAAGGTCTGTATCTGGACCAATAGTTTTTTTGCTCTGGCTCCCAACGTTTCCTACCTGGGGATGTTGTTTTTGGGATCTTCGCTATCGTTGGCAAGTCCACCAAAAAGGTAGCACCGGCTTCCAATCAGAGAGAAGCTGTGTCCAAGACGGGGGCAGGGGGGTGGGCCATTCTTTGGCGCTTTGGCCTTCAGACGTTTCCACTCCCAGCGACTCGCCTGAAGGTATAAGGTGTTACATAGTGAAACTTTCATGAGCTTTATAAAGCTTCATAAAGACTTACAGGCTCTGCAGACACTTTGCATTACTGTTTTTACTACATTTACAGTTGGAATGAATGAATAAAAAAAAAGAAAGAAAGAAAGAAGCGTAGCCATGCTAATCAGCTCTGTACCTACAGGCTAACACACTGCTGTCTACACCATCAATCGTCATCTGTGATAGTTAGCGTCTGACCATCCAGAGACCCCGCTCCCTGCAGTAGCATCACTGACCTGCAGCTCATATAGGTCGTTGCTGTATTTGCCGTACTCCACCATCCCTCCGAACACCAGCAGCCTCGTCCCATCACACACGAAGCCATAGGCGGCACAGCCGGGGGGGATGTCACCACGGACTGCAGGGATGAACCACTGATTGGTGGCTGGAAGTCAGATTGGTCAGATGTTATTCAGGATGTTCCTGATTTTCAGTGTTTCATGATAGCAATGTAACTTCTCGACCCAGTTGGGACCATTAAAAGAGTCACTGTGAAATCTGGGAGACTGAACTGAACCTCTTAAGACATGCTCTGACACCACACACACTACGAGTAGGGATGCAGGAATCTAATATTTGGTTGGAACATCGGATCAACCCCCCACTCAGAAAACGGGACCTGCTTAATTTCTCCATATTTCATTTGTTGCAGGACAGCAGTTAGTGGGTGTGGAGGAAGCTGACAGCAAAGTGTCAGCAGTTTGGAGGTTTTTCATGCTTGCTACACAACACCTTTTCTTTTTATGTTTGCAAAATGTCTTTTGGTTAACAGCAAACTGTGGTTAAAGTGCGCTGACAAAACTGAAAAGCTCGAATGGGAAGATGATCCAGCCGCTCGAGTCTTATGTTCAGTCAGAGAGATTTGATACGTGGAACATACAGTTACACACTCTACATGGTAGACCCTAACAAGGTCATTGGTTTGGTCTAACACTTGCTGGAAAGATTTATTAAATTATGTTATTCACAGAGTTTAATGATCACTGTGACAAATTTTCATGACAAATATACAAATATTTCAAGAGATTTAAACAGGGACAATGAGAGAAATCCCCATTACAAACTTTAGAACTGATGTTATTAGAACTTGTGTTTTCCTGAAAAAAAGCTCATTTAGATTTGGAACATTTGCAGCCTGCAAGTTCACATCAACGAGATGTGAATTTGGCATGAAAACACAGACTACATACAAAAACGTTTAAATCTATATCAACTGAAAGAAACACATTCAACAAGCATGAACAGCAGCCCCAGAGAATGTTATTAAGGAAATAAAAGAGTACAAATACGCTTGACACCAATTGGCTCAAAATACATTTGTGCTTTGAACCTAAAGCTTTAGGAAATCATCAACAACACAATCTTCACACACAGCAATTAAGTTTTCTTAGATAACGTCTTGATGCATTCTCAATCATCCAGGAAAGTAAATATCCAAAAAGTTGATTCTGTTCATCTGGACGTAGCGTTTTGTGGGAGAAACGTTTCATCACTCATCCAAGTGACTTCTTCAGTCTCAGCTGACTGCAGGTTTCCCCAGTCATTATAAACAGTACATTGGCATAATGACTGAAACCAGCCCACTGAGGGAACAATGGGCTGGGAGGTCAGTTCCTTAATCTTAATCATGCAAATTCTCATGACCATTGATCAACAACCACTGATCAATAGCCATGAGTACCACACAAAACGCTAAGTCCCGATGAACAGAATCAACTTTTTATAGATTTTCTTAGATAACTGGTTTTTTTTAAATAGTAACTTTGCTTTCTGCTTATTTTATTAAAAATGCCCGATGTAAACGGAATAACTTAGTCAAGTCGTAAATATGTAAAATTTAGTGATACATGCAGATTTTTATCCGCAGTCGATTGCAGGTCAGAACCACGATAGAGAACGATAAAATAAAGACAACCATATTAAACAAATAACGACCCCACAAACCACTTGGACGCAAATACAAAAACACTAAAAACGAATTTTGAAACGTAAGTGTCTTTAAACTGGCTTGTTTTTAAAGTGTTTTTCTTTATTTTCTGCAGCAACGTGGGGGTGTGTCCATGTGACGTCAGCAATGTTTTCAGTAAAAACGCGCCATTTCTCTCTGTGCTTCTGCCAGAGCCGCCCGGTTAGCCGCTAGCTGTCTGCTAACCTTGTTAGCATGCGGAGCGGGGCTAGTAGGTTTTATTTGGTAGTCTGAGGTTAGCCTAGCGTAGCCTAGCCTAGCAGGCTAAGGGTTATTATTTATTGAGCATTTCAGCCTCATTAGTCACAAGCAGAACACATCTCCGCTCTCTTAGCTCTTTAGCACAGTTAGCTTCGAGATAGCATATAAATTAATTTAGCATGCAGCCACACAGACCATATTCATAATTATTTGGACACACGGAGCATATGAATCGTACCTGTGTTGTAGACATGCAACTCATCCACGATCCCCTCGTTCCCCCCGCCGAACACCACCATCAGCTCCTTAATGGCTACGGCCCTGTGTCCGTGCCGGGGCCGTGGGACTGGACCAGTCGATCCTACGACGCGCTTCCAGCGGGGCTGTAGCACCACTGGCCTCCTGGGTTTGGCTTCCATTGGGCTGTTCTCTTGGTGCGCTCCTCTCGGTCCTCAATGACAGACAAAGATCAAAATTCAGTCGCGAGTTTAAAACGGTATGCGGCTGGCATTAGCCCGCTAACTAGCGCCAGAAGCTAACTAGCCGGCTAATGTCCCTGACGTTGTTGTATGGCTAACTAGCTTCTGCTACCAGGATTAAAGAGCCGCTCTGTGAGCTGCGGTCTAACCCAGATCCGTCCCCTTTTATTGGACCCACTATATAAAAAAGCCTTCCTTTCTAGATCCAGCCGCAGACTCGGGCTCAGACAGAGACCACTGGGGTGCTATCCAGCCCAGTGGGCGCTGCTTGGAGACGGGAGGAAGCCGCCAATAGCAGCTCAGGCTAACACAAATGAGCATACGGCTGCTGCGTGCAGCGCTGTGAGGAGCCCCGGAGGCAGCAGGCTGCTATCAGACACGCAGAGCGGCCGGAGCGGGAGCCGCCATCTTGCTGCTAGCAGAAGCCGCTGAAAATGGCAGTGAAGCTAGGTGGCTAACAGCTAGCAGCTAACAGACAACTTCCTGTCCTCAGTAGTAACCTCTGTATACAAAACAGTGACTTATTAGCTCCGTGAGCAGCTTTCAGTCTACTGTATTAAACTTTATAACTTAATTTAATCTGTACATTTACAATAGTGGGAATAAATATTAATAAAAAACTAATTACTTCATTTCTAAAAGTCTGCTGAAAAATTCAAAATCACTTTACAATCTGAATACAGAATCAAAAACTTTGATCAGTTCAGCCATCATCTGCTCATATAGACCCCAAATGACAGAAAACTGCTGGCAGATTCAAATAACCTGGAACTAACTAATCTTATTACTGCATTTTTTTTATTTATTGTGTACTTATTACAAGAATGTATTTGATTACCTTCTTAGATAATTATTTTTTACACTGGAGTTCAAGGTTCAAGGTTCTTTATTTGTCACATGCATAGTTATACAAGTATAACACACAGTATAACTATGCATGGAGTCCGGAGGCATATAAAAGATTAATATAAAAGATTAATTAAAAAAAGCTAACCTTCATGTGTGAGTTTTGAAAGAAATGTGTAAAACTTGCTTGAATGACTGTTTTAAGTCATTATTTGTGCCTGAATGACTTGCAGCATTTAAACTCAGCAGTTCCAGTCAGGATGCAGAAGATCCTGGAGCTCTGGCCTGCTCTGATTAGCTGCCTCCCTGTCGGGTGACTGATGATGCTCTGGACACTGGAAAACTGACAGTTGTGGACTTGACTGAGCTGGTTGTTGAATGTTTGTTTAAACAGCATTGCTGCTGACAGGTAGCATAAATATGTTTCACCTCCAAACTGGGATTTTCCCCCCTGACCGTGTCACCCGAAAAAACTGGAGGGATTCGTAAAAGGCCCAGAGCTAAAAGTGACGCCATCGCCGTGCTGCTTCATCCACCCAACAGAAAAACACAAATTTCAACCTTGCAGAGAGGAAAAGCTGCAAATTTGGGATTCTTACACTTTTCAGTGCACATTATATTTAATTAAATTTTATAATTACATTAACTAAACGTTCGGCCCGAATTTAGTCAAAACACCCTAACCTTCCATCTTAGACACCTACTGGAGTGGTTTTCAAATGCTGTTTTTATGGGTGAAAGAGTTAAATATGCCACACAACGTGAATGTTTTCAACAGGACGTGACCCAAATTCTCATGGCCTGGTGCCTCGCCTGCCTCTGCCTGATGGCCCTGAGAGTTTGCCGTCATCTACCATTAACAACAACCAGTCAAAGCAGAGGGTCCCTCCAAGCAGACCCAATATAGCATCGACGTTTTTAGATACTCAAACAGAACAACACACCGGCGCTTCTGTGATAAACACACCAGAAAACTAACAGACTAACTGCAAAATAAACACAGAAAATTGTATTAAGGAACGGTTTACATGAAGTTGTTTTTAAAAATAACTTTGTGAACACTTGGATAGCTTCACCCTGACCTCGCCCATTATATAACACGCTATATTTAATCAGCCATTTTGCAGCGCTATTGACATTCTCTACAGTAAATGTCACAACAGAGCTCAACAGCTACTTTTTTATAAGGTCTCCGTTTCCAGAATTGAATTTCCTATTTCAGGAAATCCTTTTACAAAGAGTTTTAATCCTTGAACCGAGACAACCAGCTGAGAGGTGACCTTTGACCATAAAAAGATTTCATTAGTATTAAAAAAAAAAGAAAAAGGAAAATGGAAAAAAAGACAAAGGTTCAAAACTGTGTACATAATTACATAATTATATAAGGAATCACTCATCACATAATTAACTGCAAATCCAAGACTCCACAGCAAATGGCCGTAAACCCCTTAAATGCGATGCTTTCATTGTTGTAGGGCTTCTATGGTTAATATGTTGTACAATAACAGTTTGAATGGATTTTTGTAGTTTGTGTTGCGTTATGTTTAAGTATCGCCTCCTTGTTGATCTGGCACAGAGCTTTGCACCTGATGCAATCAGCACTCTTCTGGTTTCTAAAGTTTCACACTCTCAAAGCAACCTGATGATCATAGGTTTAAACATTTCCATGGCAACAGCGGCCTCCACCACAGATGTAGGATTATAGGTTGAAAAGTTCTACCCATTCCACCCAGGACATCTAGCCTATGTCCTGTAACTTTACGAATAAAATTCATTCTTGCTGACACAAGACTGTGGATTCTACAGCAGCACTATCATGGTTTTACAACACCATACGGAAGATCCTACATCTATCAGCTTAGACCATCACGGACCGGAAACTTCCAGTGTCCTAAAAATCAGGATAATCCGAGCAGCAGCACGTTTTGCTCAAGCTGAAATATTTTTCACTTGTACAGGCACATTCTCATCAGCTGCATCAAATTCACCCCATTGCCTAAGCTTTGCTAAGTATTTCATATGAAACCACCCCTGAACTGTTTGTACCACATCACTGTGTAATTAACTGTTAATTTTCTATTAGGAAAATTATGGCTCTTCATCTCACCCTATTGCTAGCACGGTCCTCCTTCACTACATTCATTAATCTTCTCTGTGGTCTTCCTCGTTTCCTCCTCTCTGGCAGTTCTATCTTCATCCTGCATCCTTTGTCCAATATATCCTCTATCCCTCGAATGCACATCTCAGCCTTGCCTTCCCTTTCAATCTCGGTTATCCTTCTGTCACGAGTTCCCAATGACGCTTGTCTGCACTTACTCCATCCACCCTTCTTCTTCACCTCTCTTGTGCACTGTCTGTTACTTTGGATGGCTGAACCCAGGTATTTAAACTCATCTACCTTCAAATCAAGCTGCAGTTTCACTGTTACACCTTTCTCCCTCTCATTCACACACATGTATTATGTCCTGCATCTATTACATTTAACTTCATAGAGAATTTTTTACATTACTATAGTGTAAAATTTACAGCTGAGCTTCTTTACACAGATTTGTATTTTAGATATTTATTTTTTGGACACATATACTTTAACAACATCAGTATCGTTGTTTTCACCGTGTCCTGCTAATGCTCTGCTGTTTGTTTCAGAAACATGGAAGTGCTTGCTGTGACCAAGTGGACAATCCAAACACAGCCAGCTGAACTCCCATTGAAACCTTACACGGGCTGTTTCACGTCGGAACAATTAAAAGCTCCGGTACACCTGCTGTTCTCCGCTTCCGGTTCGCTCGGCAGGTAACCGACGCACCTGGCAGCACTTTTATTTGCTGCTCAGTAACATTCATGACAACATAAGTGGAATCCAGCGCCACAGCTATTTGCTAGCTAATGCTAAAACCCACCGCTAGGATAAAGCTGTTAGCATGCACTCACAAAGCTAACCGGCTAACTTGTATAATGTTTTATTTATTTCGTATCTTCTTTATCACAACTGTAAATTAAACCTGGAGAAAAATCAAAACGTTTAGGAGCTGTTCTATGAGACATTTTAGATCCCCTGGGTGAAACAAGTATTTGTCCACCTAACCAAAACAAAACCATTTTCTCTCTACGGGAAGCCGGCGGGCTATCTGCCCATTCTGATCCGGAAACTGAGCGTAAAAGCAGACGTTAGCAATTCTGCAGGGCTGCTAATGCTAGTCTACTTTATTAATGTGCTGTTAGCAGACCGTTCTCGTGCTAACCAAAGATTATCATCGTTGTATCAGATAGCGTCCAACATTAGCTGAAATTACCACAAAGAGCTGCAGGTAGCCGTACGGATAGCTTAGCCAGCACAGAAGCTTCATTAATGATTAGCATCTGCTAAGTTAATAGTGGTTAACTGATGGAGCTTTCACCAAACTTCCTGTTAAAAATGATTCTTTAGCCCGCGGGCTTGAGTAGCTCTGGAACAGTTAATGTAGCTCAATAACGAGCTTGCATTAAATAAGTAGCTGGTTATGCTAACGGCTGTTAGCACTGACGTCCCTTCCCTCAACAAACATGGCGGCAGTACCGTTAACCGCTCAAACAGGCTGAAAAGTCGCGAGTAGCATTCGACCCGGTCCTGCCCGGTCCGGTCTGGAGTACTTACTCACTTTGCGGATTCTGTCGTGTACAGTCAGACTGAACTCACAGCAATCTTTCAATAGCTTCAAACGCTCATCTTCATCTTCGACATGCCGTTCAAAGGGACGCCATTTCCTCCCCAACTTCACGGCGCAATAGCGCACCCCTCAGGACATACACAAACACACAGCTACAGTCTTTCAGTAGAAATGGAAACTAAATGTCATTAAAGCAATCTAAAATAAATGAACGAAACAACTGGGTTTTAAAAACTTGTTTATTTAATTAAATTAATTAAATCAGCCAAACTATTTTTATAAATTGTCTCAAGTGAAGAACTAGTAAAACCAGTTAATTAACAATAATTATCTTCAGTGTTATATAGTTGCTTCAGTGAGTTTTATACTGTAAGATAAATGTTAGGGCAAGAACCCCAACAATCAGATAATCCCCTGTGAGCAAGGCTAAGTAATAGTGGGGAAGAAGAACTCAGTTAGGCCCCTCCAGGATCAGGCTAAGGGCACATCTGCTACAAGCAACTGATGAATGAAGACCGAAAAAAGGAACACTGAGAAATCAAATTTAAGCCAGTTTTTGAAGTTAGTAAAAAAGGTCCAATGTTAAAATGCCCAATTTTACAAGAAATAGAAGACAAACATGTTTAGAGGCTGCTCCAAATCAAAAATGTTGTCATCTGATTATATTTTCTCTGTGCTTCAGTTTTGGTGACTGAAAATTTAATATCGTATTTCACAGGTAGCATTGGCTCAGTGTTCCACCTGTACAGTGTATAGATGCAGTTTGCCATCAAAGCCAGCTAGCAGTACCTGATAACATTTCACCCTCCTGTCCACATATGACATCTTCTGGCTCCGCCGATAATAAGATTACAGCTTCAAAATGCAGAACTTGTGAGATCGCAGTGGCTACGTTCTGATGTTATCTTTGTCTTGCTCCTTGAACAACAACAGCCATCAATCAGATGCAGGTTTTTGTTGGCGCTCAATAACATAAAACATCATCTCAAACTCTGCGGCATTCAAAGCATATAGCATGTACTCTGTTTTCAGAATTTTATGACACAATTACAAATATTAAAATATTTCCATGTGAATATTAAAATTATTACAGACTAATGAATAAATAATTTCAGTTGGATGAAAACAACAGGAATGTTGCGTTACGCTGACATGGGCATCACTTGGTTTGAACCCAGTGATGTTTTTTGGTAAATGCACAGCTGGAGAAATCTATGAAACCCAGATTCACCAGCAGTCTGAAATGTGACACACCAGCAGCTCCACCATCCAGCAGTTTTTTCTGTAACATTAGTGATGATGAAATCCACAGCTGCACTCCAGAAACTGTCCATCTTTGGTCCTCTACTTTGTGTCCATACTAGATAACCGCAGTCACTTGTGTTTAGTGGGAAGATAATCCAGCTCATCGCTCTCCTCTGGTCCTCTGATGTCCCCAGAACTCTTCTCTTCATCTGATCAGACACAGGAGAAACACAATGAGTGAACCAAAAACAAACAAAACCAACAGGTATCATAAAAACTCCTGAGTGTGGTTTACATACAGATGTTTTCAGATGACAGCAGCTCAGGAGTACGAATCCTTCCTTCCTCGTACTGAGTTTTCTTCTCCAGGAGTCGCTGTTTGCTGGAATTTATCTGAACTGAACAAACAGGAAATGGATCTAGTTTCAGTTTCAGAAAAGTTTAGGACAGGTGTTCAATAATGTCTGAAGAAACTAAGGTGTGGTCCTTTAATGAGTTGCTCACATACTTGAAGGCTCTGGAGATGTTGACTTCAGGGACCCTGCAGGAGAGAAGCCGTAGAGCCTTGCAGTTGCATCTGCCGTGGTTTGCCCTCTAGTCTCTGGTCCTGCTGGGGCCCCTCTCAGTGCTCCGGGTGCTATACTCAAACTGGTGCTATTGGGCTGGGGAGGGAAATTGTACTGGTCCTCAGTGGGCACCGAAGGCTGGTTGCACTCAACCTCTGTGAGCCTAGCTGGACTGCGATACTGCGCTTTGGTGGAAGGAGATAAAGACCTGCAGCTGGTCCCGTTTGATCTCAGCTGAGAGCGAAGGTCGTACTGGGAGAAACCTCGACTCTCGTCGGTTTCACATGGACCAGCGAATGAACAGGAAGACACAGGAGGGAAAATGGATGACGGGGGAAGAGATGATGATGAGTGAAGTGGGTCAGGAGTGGCGAGGGTGAACAAAGAGGGAGAGGAAGAAAATTTGGTTGACTGTGACACTTGGTAGGTATCCTCCAGTGGTCCCAGTTTACTCAGCTCTTTGGAAAGCTGTTGTATATTAGAGTCCAGAGAGCGGGGAGGTCTGGGGAAGGACTGGTAGGGAGGCTCCCTCACCATTTTATATACGTCCTCAAGAGATGCACACACCTATGAAAAAACAAAACAACACACTGAGGTGAAAAACAGGAGGATCCAAACAGGAGCCCTGAGGAACTCCAGAGTGCTCTAAGCAGCAGTCACAGAAGTCCAGATTAAATTAAATTGCACCACAACCAGTCTGAACTGACAGGATATGCATCTGAAGAAGTCTGCAACCACTGAAACTACATCTGACAAAGTCCAGATTAACAAAACTGTTTAAGAGGAAACCAAGTGAGTGTGGCTGGCTCTTACATCTTTCATTACCGGTCTCTTCCTCCTGAGTTTTGCCAGACACCTGCAGGCCAGATCCGCCAGTTGCAGGCTACCAGTAAGCTCAGCAGTACCCCCTGCAACGAAAGTGAACACAACAGGTAACAGGAAGGACATGGAGCAGGCACAACAAGGACAGGGACTGTGGTCTTAGCTCAAACACTGACCTGAAATCAGCCGTTTGTCAAGATGCTTCCTCCAAACTGCTTCAGTTGAGCCATCCGGACCTTCCTTGATGTCCTCCACCAGGTACTTCTGCAAACCAGAATCAAAACCAGGGTAAGCCCGACAACAGACCAGGTTACCGGCAAGGAAACACACCAGCCGGGTTTGGAAGGATTCTGCCATTTTCCAAAGCTTCAGATTCATCCATCCATCCATTCACTTCCGCTTATCCTTTTTCAGGGGCGCTGGAGCCTATCCCAGCTGTCATAGGGCGAGAGGCGGGGTACACCCTGGACAGGTCGCCAGTCTGTCGCAGGGCTAACTCACAGGGACAGACAACCATTCACACTCACATTCACACCTAGTGGCAATTTGGATTATCCAATTAACCTATCCCCACAAGCTGCATGTCTTTGGACGGTGGGAGGAAGCCGGAGTACCCGGAGGGAACCCACGCAAACACGGGGAGAACATGCAAACTCCACACAGAAAGACCCCGGCCTGATGATGGAATTGAACTCAGGACCTTCTTGCTGTGTGGCAACAGTGCTCACCACCGTGCCACCGTGCTGTTCAGATTCAAAACAACCCAATATGCAAATCAACTGTGTGAGCAGGTGTGTGCTATTACCAGGTATCTGTCTCGACCCATCCCATCTTTCTCCAGAGCTCGACGTCCAGTCAGCACCTCGAGCAGCACCTGAAACACACACACGCACCATTTTCAGACACTTGCTGTGTTTCTCTTCTGTTTTCTGGTCTCAGAATAAAAATGTTCAGTTTCACGTCAGTTCCTAAAACAGGATATTTCCTGTTGCCAACTCTATAACTTACCTACAACTAACGAAGATGTTTCTCTAACTAATAGATGGTTGTAACTTATTTTATAAACAAAACCACCTACAAATTATTATGTTTATGATATTTTTTATGGTTTAATGGGTGTATTTAATTATGCTTTTCAAACGTATTTATGGAAAAGCTTGAAGCTTAGGGTGCAAATTATGCTTTACAGTATACTAGTATTACAGATCAAACGATAACGCCGTCATACTTGAAGTCTTTCTGTTTCCAGGTACCTTTTTTTTTTTACTTCCGTGCTTCGGTTTCAAAATCTACAATTTCTTGTTTACATCTTTTGTGGTGTCTAAAATATTTTCTAGAGGAACAATCAAAATTGAGGCCTGCAGCTGTAAATCTTTGCTACTCCTCAACGGTTAGCCATGGTCCACATCGAAGCATCACATCATAGTGATTAGGAATTAACTGCATAAAAAATCAAGTCCTATAATATTAAAAACATACATGTTTCACACAATTTTCCACTGTTGTCATAATAGAAATGGGCCTGTTTCTGTACCAAACTACAAAAAGTTATTGGAAAAGCAGAAATATTTTTATAATTAGGACTATATGAATACACAGAGTCCTCCCATACTGCACTGAGGCCCTGCGACATCTCACCACTCCGAAGCTGTAAACGTCCAGTTTGGGTCCCAGCTCTCCGCCTCTCACGTATTCCTCCGGCAGATAAGCCAGCGTTCCTCTCACTGTTGTCGTTTTACCCACGGATGTCGTGCTAGCTGCCGAGGTGCCGGTGGGTACAAACCGAGCCAGACCGAAGTCTGAAAGCTTCGCCGTCATGTGACTGTCCAACAAAATGTTGGAGCTGGAGAGAAACCGATGCACATAAAGAAAAAGAGTTCAGGTTAACACACCAGGTGAAAGCAGAGGCTGTGATTTTGCCAGTGCGTCGCCATAGTGCAAATACTCGCACTAACAGACTTTTAAAAAACAAAACAAAAAAAACAACAAACACATCACAGATGACTTTTTGACATCACTCAGCCTTATAACCAGGTGGACCACATCAACTGTGATAAATGAGTAAATGTGGCAGTAAATACACTTCATGCAAATCATTTCATTACTTCTTCAACGGAAACTTCATCTTGATGTTTTTTTCCTGTGACCTTTGTATGAACTGTGAAATGAAGGCATGAATTTCAACTGAAACTTTACCTGACGGTCTGCCTACGCTGACGTGTTTTACACACAATTCAGAGGAAAACAAAAATGATGGCGACCTCCAGATAGCAGAAGAGGAAGAAGAGGGGCTTCTTCCTTTCTTTGTTGTGTTTGGCTGAATGACAAAGTACACCATAAATATTTATTTTCCTGATCACTTTTCCTTGACTAGAGGAAAAATGTGAAAAGTTAGAAGAGAACAGACTACAGGGTGAATGTTGATCTGCTGTGGTGACATTGCAGCCTCCTGGACTACAAAAAGCTCATCTTTCATACTGTTCCTGCGTTGGTCATACAAAAGAGGATACTCATGAAAAAAATTGAAAACAAATGGAGCATTCTCGGTCTCAGCACACAGAGCGGGTCGCACACGGTGGTTCAATCCCTGGTCCTGCAGTGCATATGTTGCAGTCCCATCCCTTGTGATTGTTATTGTTTAAAGGCGTAGAATACAGCACTTTATGAATGTGTATGAACGAGCAAGACTGTAGCTCGTAGTAAAAAGTGCTTCGACTGCTCAATGAGAAAAGTGCTATATAGGTACTAGCGCATCTTCCAATTCAATAACAAATAAAAATTAATTCATCATCAAGGCTGGAATTTGATAAGGGAATTTATGACCTATAAGCAGAAATAATATTTCTCACTTTCAGATTAGTTACTCATCGTTTCCAGTCATTTCTCTCTTCCTGCTGGAAATAATCCAGTATAGCTTCTGCTTTCTGCACTTTTCAGTGACTCATGTCAAATAAAAGACTGTAATACAGCTGTTCACTTTGATCTATTTAACACATGGATTCATAAATACACTGAAGAGCTCCAGGGTGAAGATCACCTTTTCACGTCTCCGTGGATCAGCAGCTTTTCGCCTTCAGGGGGGCAGTGGAGAAACTGCAGAGCTTCTGATGCGTCTTTAACAACACTGACTCTCTGAGGCCATGAGAGCACCACACACTCCTGAAACACACACACGGAAATAAACACACCCATGGAAATAAACACCCCTCCGAAACAAATAAACATTTGTAAATTATGTAGTGTGCAGGGTTTTCCCCAAGCACTGAAACTCGGGTGCAGGACTGAGTGTTTTTACAGAGCATCATGGAGAATGCACATGAAGAGGTAAAGGTGATTAATAAGAGCCACCATCATTATTTAACAAGCCTTTCATATTTATAATCACTTCCCATCAGTGGATCTTATTTATTTGTATATCACAATCTTTTATTCACATCTACTTGGAGCAACAGATGAAGGCCGATACACTGGGTGTATCAGGTTTCAGTGTTGCCAGCTTTCTTTCGGTAATATTGCAAGGATAATGGCAAAAGCCAACACTGAAAAGACCCAGCAATGACCACCTATGACACCCAGAAAGCACCCGAGTCCTGGGAAAACCCTGGAGTTATCTGAGCCGTGTGCATCTGTGTATGTGTTACGTTGTGCAGCTGGTCCTCCAGAGATCTGTTTTCCATGTAGCTGTAAATCAGACACAATGACCCTCCTCCGTCACTGAACCCTAAAAGATCCACAATGTTGCGATGTCTGAATCTGAGGAGGACACACACACACACACACACACACACACACACACACACACACACACACACACACACACACACACACACACACACACTATAACAACCATGTGACTTTAATCAGAACAGATGAAATCTGCTGTATCTCACTGAGGAACTTCACCCACCTTGACAGTTGCTCCACTTCAGTCTGGAAGCTCTTCTTCAGCAGAGCCCAGTCCAGCAGCCCGTCCTGTCAACGACAGCAGCAATTCTGACCAATCACAATCTACTTCCTGGCAGTAAAATGGACCAATGAGAAGGCTTTTTCAGACAGTGAGCGGTCGACCCCTCTCTAATTATCAGTCGATGTTTTTCTTTTAACTTTTCTAAAAAGAGCCAAAAGACTCTTTCAGACTAATTTTGTCTCCGTTTCCATGGCGGCAAAAACCTCGAAAATGACAGTTGTTTTTAAAAATCTGTCTGTGACAAAACCATAGACTGTACGTTAAAGATGTTGGCAGCTACCGTGACAGCACCCATTGGATTGTGAAGTCCGTTGAACCCTCGAGATGAGCCATTTTGCTGACACCATGTTGGTGTTTTGATACAGGATGTGCACACTCACCGTCACACACATGTTGATGAGCAATGAGCATTTCCTGGAAAATCCTCTCTCACACTTAGAATGACACAAATTTACAAAATGGACTGAATTTTTCATTAAGTGTGACTGAAACGAGAAGCTGAGATGATAACATCAGCAGTAAAGTGTCGACTATGGTCCTGACAGAGCGCCGTCTTCCCACAGACTCACTTTAGGACCTCTACGATGGCTTCACTTTTTAGACCCAGAAGCTAAAATTGAAGCTCATATTTTGTGTGGAGACGGGCTTTAGAAGGGAACCACCCAACCCGACCACCATCGCAGGACTTCCAGGTCGCTCTAAAACGTCAACCAAATGTACAAGTTACCTAAACCGGCCTTCTAACAGCCAGCAGGGGGCGACTCTTCTGCTCTGTGACCTTTCGTCTTAACATTTTTGACTCAGTCACTAGTTCCAGGTCAGACTGAATAAAACATGAAGATCATTTTGTAAAATAAAGAATCAAAAAATACTCTAATTGGCTAACAACTACTCACTCATTAAAACGATTAGCTAGAGGTGTCGTCATGGGGACTTGACTAACCAATGGCAAATGGTCTTTTATAGGGTCCGTAGCTGTGACAAGCCAAAACAAAAGCCTGCACAGCCTTTTTGATCTATTTCCAACTTTTGTGTTGCTTAAACTTCATTGTTCATGGCCTGCAGGTGGCGACTCCTCTGGTTACATAAAGACTTAAAGGGCCCTTTCCTCAAAATAAAAGTGAGCAACACCATTTGTGACTTTTTTGTATTTCATCTCATTTCCTTTTATTTCTTTGGTGCCCGACAGTTTTAACTTTCTAGCTCGAGCGCAGAAATAATCAGACGGTTGGGATCGTGCATACATTTACTCGAACTGCAGCGTAAACTGTAAGCAGAGTTTTTCTGTACCAGTCCTGTTGCTGCCTGAAAACCGCTCGCTGTCTGAAAACTCCTCAAGACTGAACTGCATTGTGATTGGCTGACCTCTTTGAATTTCTTGACGGCGCACTTCATGTCCTTCAGAGTCGCTCTGTACACGACTCCAAACCCCCCCTCCCCTATCTGCAGGGAGGGGGAGAACCCATTTGTCCCAGCATACACCTCTTCATATGACAGGCGCATCACTGCGATGCTGCTGCTCACCGCCACCATCACCTGGGGCTGGGGGATGACATCACCACCATCATCGTGCTTTGTTGTAGTGATGTATTTGTATTGATTGTTGAACAAACCTTGTGTAATGTGTGTGCAAGTATGCGCGTGTGAGAGAGAGACCTGGTGACGTTGTTGCACTTCAGAGCGCAGCCCCGGGGGGGGCGATGCAGGTCTGGGTAATGGACCTCCTATTCCTTTATTTACAGAATAAAGTAGTGACATCATCAGCGTCACAGAACAAGCCGACTGGAAATACGTAAATGTCTGTTTATGCTGTGTTACCTGAGCCCAGTCTACAGGTGTCCTGCATAGGCGTGGCCCAAGGCGTTTTGGGAGGGGGGACAAACTGAGAGTCAGAAAAAGGAGATGAAGAAGGAAGATGACGAGCAGGAGCAGGAACATAGGAGTAAAGGTCCAGACTTCTCACCCCTGCAGACAGAGAGACAGAATGAGAAAAAGTCAGTCCTATACAAAAGGTTCTACTGAAAACGTGGACTTCAGGCACGTTGCACTAACGTATAGTGATGAAGTGTTTTAGGAGAATATGATCAAACCAATATGCGTACAGGGAGGGGTACAGCACTGAGGATGCAGTGCTAAGTGTCACTCTTTTAATAAGCAAGCATTCAGAAGATTCAAAAGCTAATGATCAGATTCCATCTGCTGATTCTAGTTCTGCATTTGACTGTTCGTCCACACCCGCAGCTCCAAAAACTCTCAAGTTTAGAAATGCCTTAATTATAAATTGGTTTTTATCCCTTTTGTCAAGCCGGTCACAACAAGTTAAACAATTCAATCTCCGTGAGTTCCCCTCTCCTTTTCACCTTGTATACTACTGGCTGTTGAGGTAACTGGACTAATTATGGGGTTATCAAATTCTCATCAAAGAATTTGATAACCCCGTTATTGTTATTATAATATATCCTACATGCAGGTGACTGCCCGTCTTTATCCCA